TGGCCGGCGCACTGCGGCCGGCGCACCTCGCTGATCCGATGGCAGGAGCCAGGTGCTTCTCCTGGTCTCCCATGGGGTGCAGGGCCCACTGCACTCCCGGACCACAGCAGAGAGCTGGCCTGGAAGAGGGGCAACCAGGACAGAATCCGGCGTCCCGACCGGGACTAGAACCCGGTGTGCCGGCACTGCGAGGCGGAGGATTAGCCTAGTGAGCCGCGGCGCCGGCTTGAACCTACTCTCAACAGTTCTGTGTTCACTATTTTACCAGCAGGTCCTGCTATCCTCCTTGAACTGCAACACCAATAGCTTGTGATTTAGGAACTGATGAGCTGTGGAATAAGAACAAGGGAAGGTCCACCTCCCGTCTCCTAAATTCATCATTATTAATTGTATGTCATTAGTATCTGCTAAAAATAGAATAGTAAAACAGAGCACTTACTGTGTGCTACACATTATTCTAAGTACTTCACAATATATTGCTCCATGTAATCTTGACAATGATCCTTTGATCCTATAGTCATAGAGGAAAACATGAAGGTTTGGGAGGCTTGCCTAAAGGAGCAGAGTTTGAGCACAGGAATTTGACTTCAGAGCCGTGTCCTTAGGCATTAATATTATCCTGAGAACAATGTCATGTAGTGTAATTATTGTGTAAAAATCATGCACAAGAATGAACGTCTCTGAACCCCTTCTCTAGGCTCTAAAGCAGCATATTTACAAACTGGGCAAGCAAAGACGTCCCTGGCAAAAAAAAGGATAACATGCCTTGGCGAAAACAAGGGAGTTATTGGAAATTCACGGCTATTTTGTAAAGAATTACTGGGAGGGGGGGTTGGACAGGGCAGCAATAGCCTTTTTCACCCATACATTGACAGACTATATTCCAAGGGTTGGGCACTAGCTATGGTTAAGACTTCATACTTGGGAAGAGCTCCAGGCTCTCTTAACACAGCTGCAATTGACAACACAGTCCAACTACTTGAAACTTTAATTATTAGAGGTTTACATGGAAAAATCCAGAATTTGTATGTTGAAAATGAGGAGCCCTGGAAACCAGAAGTTAATTGATTACACTGGGATGTGAAATGTGTGTTAACTGATGTGTGAATTCACTATGTAATGATTTGCTTCTAAATACTGGTTTAAAAATCATCACACAGGGTCGGCATTGTGACATAGCAGGCTAAGCCACTGCCTGCAGTGTCGGCATCCCGTATGAGTGTCACTCATGTCTTGGCTGCTCCACTTCTGATCAGCTCCCTGCTAATGTTCCTGAGAAAAGCAGCAGAAGATGGCCTAAGTGTTTGAGCCTGTGCCACCCACGTGGGAGACTCGGAGGTGGCTCCTGGCTCCTGGTTTAGGTCTGGCTCAGCCCTGGTCATTTTGACCATTTGGGGAGTGAACCAGTGGACGGAAGATCTCTGTCCCTTCAACTCTTTCAAATAAGTAAATATATCTTTAAAAATAATATATATATACATATAAATCATTTTGTGATTGAGTTAAAGAGAACAACATCTGGTTTGTGAGAAATTTCTTCATCTTACCTTTTAAAAATGTTTGTATTACATTTTACAGTAAATTCTGATCTTTGTTGCTCAGAATTACTTGGTGATCTGAGAGTTAAATCTATGAACTTACAATCTGATTCTGAAGTTTAAAAAATAAGAAAATGAAATGAGAAGCAGGCCGGCGCTGCAGCTCACTTGGCTAATCCTCCGCCTGTGGTGCCGGCACCCCGGGTTCTAGTCCCAGGTGGGGCACCGGTCCTGTCCTGGTTGCTCCTCTTCCAGTCCAGCTCTCTGCTGTGGCCTGGGAGTGCAGTGGAGGATGACCCAGGTGCTTGGGCCCTGCACCCCATGGGAGACCAGGAGAAAGCAAATGGCTCCTGGCTTCAGATCAGCGCTGCGTGCCAGCTGTAGCGGCCATTTTGGGGGTGAACCAACGGAAGGAAGACCTTTCTCTCTGTCTCTCTGTCAAAAAAAAAAAAAAAAAAAAGAGAGAGAGAGAGAGAGAAGCAAACCATTTAAAACAACATTTTTATCCTAAACTTGAATTTTGGCAATGTATTAAGCAACTTGGAAGAAAAGCTAACAATTTTTTAAAGTTTTATTTATTTCAAAGAGTCAGAGTAAGGTAGAGAGAGAGAGGTCTTCCAACCACTGGTTCACTACCCAAAGAGCCACAAGGGCCCGAGCTGAGCTGATCCCAAGCCAGGAGCCAGGAGTTTCCTCCAGGTCTCCCATGTGGGTGTAGGGGCCCAAACACTTCGGCCATTTTCTGCTGCTTTCCCAGGCACATTAGCAGGAAACTGGATTGGAAGTGGAGCAGCTGGGATTGAACCAGTGCCTGTATGGGATGCCGGTGCTGTGGGCCAGGGCTCTAACCCACTGCATCACAGCGCTGGCCCCACTAACATAATTTTAAAATTAAAATTATTTAATCCTGGCCAGCACCGCGGCTCAGTAGGCTAATCCTCCGCTTTGCGGCACCGGCACACCAGGTTCTAGTCCCGGTCGGGGCGCCGGATTCTGTCCCGGTTGCCCCTCTTCCAGGCCAGCTCTCTGCTGTGGCCAGGGAGTGCAGTGGAGGATGGCCCAAGTACTTGGGCCCTGCACCCCATGGCAGACCGGGAGAAGCACCTGGCTCCTGCCTTCGGATCAGCACGATGCGCTGGCCACAGAGCGCCGGCCGCGGTGGCCACTGGAGACTGAACCAACGGCAAAGGAAGACCTTTCTCTCTCTCTCTCTCACTGTCCACTCTGCCTGTCAAAAAAAATTATTTAATCCTAAAGAAAATCATTTGCTTTTTACAATCTGCAATGGTCTGGCTATTTTATAGTGCTAGTTGTTGTTTAGAGCCCTCACATATTTGTATTTCACTTTCATTTGACAGTATTACAGAAGGGAGTTTTTCAACTCACCTGACTTTCCTTTAATATAAACTCCTGCCTGAATTGGGAGATGAAGTCAGTTAAGTGGTTCTGTGGCTTTTCCCCTAACTATACATTTTCATCAGCAACTGATGGCACTGATTTCCAGCCAAGGGGTAACAGCTCTGGGTGATGGGGGAAGCAAATCTGAAGATGAGGAAGACTAATGAGGGAACAGGAATTTTTGAAAAGTCTCTTGAATAATTCTGACCAACCCTGTCTCTTTTGAAGATTTCTACTTAGTCTGAAATACAAGGAGGAAATGGTGTTTGGAAAGTAACATTAAGATTTCAGTAAGTTTGTCTAAGTGTATGAACTTCTGTTTATTCAGAATAGATAATAATAACAGCAGCCAACATTTACAGAGTGTTTACTATGTGCTAGGTGTTGTAGGCAGGCATACAGGATAAAATTGATTAGGTTTGTGAGCTGGAAGACCACACCTTCACCACACCCGCGTGTGACCTCAGGTCCCTACCTGACCACACCTGTGTGCCCACTGGCCAATCAGGCTAATTAACCACTCCCTTTTGGAAGTGTATTAAAGGCCTGGGACACGATGGGCCTAGCCCTTTTTGGCCCTTTTCTGGCCTTTTGCCTCTTTTGCCATTGCTTCCTGGCCTGCATGCTCCTCCATATGGCTGGCTCTCTTTAGATAGGGCCCTCACTCTGCTATGCATTTCTCTCTGAATAAAAAGCTTAAAAACTTATCATGCTGCCGGCCCTGCGGCTCACTAGGCTAATCCTCCGCCTGCGGCACTGGCACCCCGGGGTTCTAGTCCCAGTTGGGGCGCCGGATTCTGTCCCGGTTGCCCCTCTTCCAGGCCAGCTCTCTGCTGTGGCCCGGGAGTGCAGTGGAGGATGGCCCAAGTGCTTGGGCCCTGCACCACATGGGAGACCAGGAGAAGCACCTTGCGCCGGCTGTGGCGGCCATTGGAGGGTGAACCAACTGCAAAGGAAGACCTTTCTCACTGTCCACTCTGCCTGTCCACAAAAAAAAACCAAAAACCAAAAACCAAAAACCAAAACTTATCATGTTCCCTCATTCATTTGTGCCAGTATTCAGAATCCTTCTCTGAATATAAGGCAAGAACTCACAGGCTTATTAATATTCTGTTAATAAGCACCCAGTAATATAATTGGCACCCCAATACTCTGATATCATATGGCACCCCAGACGGGAATTTTAAGGGGTCTGTCTCTGATTACATCTGGCACCCATTACAGAGTGTTCATTATGTGCCAGGCACTGTGCTTAAGTACTTCATATGCATACTCTCCTTTGATTCTTACCATTACTTCCACATAGCTGAGGAAATGGAACCTTAGTTAACTGCTCAAGATCACAGTAAAAGCCACTTGAGTATTAAATGAACGCATGTTATTTCAAACCATCATACTAGTAACATTGGTTCTAAGGCACTTGGATCTGAAATGTGGGTTTTTGCTGAAATGTTTTCTACTTCTAGCCCAGAAAGATTCTACTAGAATCTGGAGTTGCAGCTGACATTTAGAAGGTTGGAGGAGTGGAAAGACTTGTATATCTGCCCCAAGAGAATGAAAAATGTGTTGTCCTAATTTTTATGTTGTACACTGGCAATCAAGTCTGCAACTTGCTTATGATTTTTTTAAGATAAAGAAGTATTTAAATCATGCTCTATTGTTTGAGATGTAAAACACCTTTGGAGAATCACTTTAAATCTTAGTTTATACCTCTTTTTTTAGTTTCTTAACCAGGAGTTGAAGACATAACCTGTTATTATATACAAAACGTTACATACATATGCGTTTTTTTTTTTTTCTGGAGGGAGAGTTCATAGCTTTTCTCATAGTTGAAATTTTGCAGTGTTGGAGAAACCTCATAAAATTGTCCAAATCAGGAACTGAAGAAGTGTGTGTGGGGGCACTCCCTATCACTTAAAGGCTTTAAAAAGAAAATCCTCCCCATCCCCCCACATCTGAGAACAAAGTCCCTACCTTCCCACCTTGAGAATCTAGAACCATTGTTTGTTTACCCAAAAAGCTTATCTTAAGCCCCCAGGTGTGTTGGGTAAAGAAACAAACAGGGATCCATTTGGAAGAACATATATTAAAATTGGATGGACAGAGAGAAAATCAGCACAGCCCCAGCCCAAGGATGACCCACAAATTTTGAAATGTTCCATTTTTTTCTTCTCAAAATTAGAGGAAAGGGGGGAGGGAGGGAAGGGAAAAAATCATTATATTTTTAGAACTGTGTCTATGAACTATACTGAATCTGTTAAAAACTAATTTTTTAAAATGCCTTAAAAAAGAAACAAAGACTAGCTTGTAGTATGTTGTAGTATATTGTAAAAGATAGGCAGAAGGTGCAAATTTAGGATTAAGGAATTCAAGAAGTGAATTGTCTAAAATAAATGGCTTCTGATGCACTCATTACTGACATACTTTCCAGCTGGAAGAAATGAAGCAAAGGATCTCCATCCTCCTAGCAGCTTTCATTTCTCATTTCTAAATTATTTTTCCTTAAGTATTTAATTATTTCTCAGTTTTGAACATTTATTTGCTTCCAATTTTCCAATTTAGCCTTTTCCTTCCCTTAAAATATTCTTGATTTCACTGGAAGAAGGAATGACAGGAAGAGACAGTAATTTTGTGGTCACTAATAGGACATGCCCTCCACCTATTAAAACATAATGTAATCTTGTTCACTCAGGTATTTGACCACTTCTTATCTACAGAATAACTGAGTTAACTCTTTGGATGATGGAAGATCTTATTTCTAGTGTATAAGTGATAGAGTCACAAACACAAGATAAAAGCACACACTGAAATTTTATTGTAGATCAGGATGAATGAATAAACACAGTGAAAAGCCATAAAATGGAGCTGACTGAAAACACTGGATTCCGAGTCCCCAAAATGTGGTAAATCCAAACCTATGTAGGTAAAATTTAAAAGAAATAATTTTGAAAGTCTTACATCCATTTAAATCAACTTGCAAAATTTAACATTTATGAGTATTTTAATCATTATAGCTTATGCATGATGTTTAGAAATAGATGAAATAAAATTATTAAGAGCAATTTATTATTTTAAAACCAAAAAAGTAAAGGATAAATTTTCAATATACCTGGTAATTTAAAATCTGACTCTATATTTCTTCTAAAGTACTTAAGTTTACCAAAGGATTATTACTAATAGTATTGCTATTATTATCTAGGGACTAACTGTATCAGATATAGATGTAAGAGGTATGCATACTATAAATGTACATTCTAAGTCCAATAATTGAACTTTATACTAAGAGATGGCTACCTTATTTTGATGCACACTTAGTTTAATAGCCAACATAGAGGATAACTAATTTGGGAATGTTGCTACATCACAATTTCTCAAACACCTCATATAATAATCACTTGTGGCATAATTGGTTAAGTTGCCACCTGAGATGGCATCTCATATAGGCTCCAGTTACTGTCCTGGTTGCTCTACTTCTAATCCAGCTCCCTGCTAATAGTCTGGGAAGTCAGGAGAGGATGGCCCAAGTGCCTGGGGCCCTGCACCCATGTGGGAGACCAGGAAGAAGCTCCTGGTTCCTGTCTTTGGTCTGGCCCAACCCTGGCTGTTGTGGCCATTTGGGAAGTGAACCAGCAGACAGAAGCACTCTCTCTCTCTCTAACTCTGCCTTTCAAATAAGTAAATCTCAAAAAAAAAAAAAAAAAAAAAAAAAAAAAAGAATCACTTTTGCCATCTGTAAAATATGCAGACTATCATTCTTCCCTAGATACTCAAGAAGGTTGAATTGGGGCCTAGGTATCAATGTTTTTTTGTTTTTGCTTTTTTTAAACAACCACAGCAGTTTATTTTCAAATTAAGGCAAGGCATAAAGTTAGATTATTATATTTAGCAAAACTGTAGTGGAATTCCTAAGAACATGGACTTGCAAAAGGAACTTCAATAGAAATAAATAAATAAAAACAAACCAACAAACTAGCCAGTTCCACACAGATTTGCAAACACGAATCTGAAATCACCTTCCCAGGCTCTACCTCATTCTCACTGAAGAGTTTCCCCTTAATTTTAGGATACAGACAGAACTTCTCAACAGGGCCTATAATGCCCTGTGGCATGGTTTGTTCCCTTCCTACCATGCCCCTACTATCTCTAGTACTCATCTTTCTGGCCCTAATTTGGTCCAAGGCTAATCTCTCTACCTGTAGGACCCTGAGCAAGTTTCCTTATTGGGAAAGTGAAAATTATGAAACTTATTCTCACAGATCAGGATTAAATGCGGTCAAGAAAGTAGAGCTCTCTGTGGAGAGGCTGGCACAATGAAATGATAGCCAATATTCAATCAAATCATGCTCCTAGAAACCATCTGTACTTCCTCACATTTAGTTCTCCAACCCACTTGCCATCTGATTCTGTATCCACCATTCCAAAGAAACTGCTTTCACCAGGCTCACCAAATGCCAAATTTCACTCCTTATCTGATTGACCTTTCTGCAAATACTGGACACTGCTGACTCTTATGCCCTTGTAAACTCTCCTCCTTTGGCTTCCCTCACAACAGAACACTCTCATTCCACATACTTCTCTGGCCAGTTTTTCAAGACATACTTTATGATCCTTTCGTTGCTTACCTTCTCAAACAAGAGAAAGTCTTAATTTTATCAAAGTCATATGTGCATATTCATATGCCAAACAAAGACAGCTACTCAGGAAGGTTTTTCGTATTAAGTTAGTACCCGCACTCCACAGGGTCTCCTGTCATTTTTGCTTTCACAGTATTTCTTACTCTTGTTCACTGTCTACCCCCTACACTAAATTCTAAGCTCTTTGAGGGCTATGTTTCATTCACTGCTGTATTCAGAGCATCTAGAATACCGGGCATCCAGCAGAGTCAACGACTATTTACTATTCCCCACATCTAATCAGTCACCAAGTCTTATATAACCTCCCTCCTAAAAATTGCATCAGATCTCTGCCCACTGTTGTCTTACAACTGACTCATGCCTTGCCTACAAGACTGCCACCACAATCTCCAGCCCTGTTCTACAATTGCTGGCTAAAGTGATCAAAGTCTTTCAATAGATCCTTACTGTCTCCAGGATCAAGTCCAAATTCTTTAGCAAAGCACACAGAGTTCTTCAGGTCTGGACCCCAGCTAATTCCAGTTTCAGTTCTTGCCAGCCCCTTCTGTGTGTACCATGCTCTCATTATCCCTGAGTATTCACAGTCACACACTCTTTCAATGCCTTCTTTGACTAACTCACACTAGTCATTCGTGGGAAGGTCTTAGCTCCAAAGTTGGGGTTACATCCTCCTCTGTACCTTCCAAGCACACTCTATGTATTTGATCATTTTATTTATCACACTCTTGCATGGACTTGCCCGACACTGGACCACAGCACCCAGCTCAGTGCTTGATATATAGTCAAGAAAAGGTTACTGAAATGCAATGAAATCCACCAATCTTATAATCAAATCTTCACCTCAGATGGCTTTACCTTTTCTGCTTCCATTCCCTGACAGCTGTGCTGCTCAAGTACCTTTGGAGAAAAACCACACAATAAATAGTACCATTAAAAAATAACGATCTTTGGCCTCACTTGTGCATGAAACACTCAGCAGGCCTTTTATGGATCTCTAGTCAGCTCCAGCTCCCACTTTGCTCTGTGACCATGAGAAAATAACAACAACAACAACAAAAAGCTCCAACTTAAACAGAAAAATTTAGAGTGAAAAGAATGAGCCTCCCCTGACATTCTACCTTACTGACAGTCTGAGCTATCTTGCCCAGTCTTCTTATAGACTCTGTATGAAAACATGGATTTATATACCAATTTGTTCCCCAAATGAAATCAAGCCCTTCCTACCATTCTAGGACTTATTTTTAAGCATATCTTTCAACACCAGCACATAGAGATTTTCCTCATTCTTTTAACAGCTGTGTGCTTTTCACTGAATAGACATACCATAATTTAACTCCCCTGCTGCAGATGGACATTGAGTTTGTTTCTAACTTTTCCTTATCCTCCTCTGTAGTTCAACACTTTCTTCAAACTTCACTTTGTCGTAAGAACGCTATCACCTGCTTCACAGAGAAAATTGAAGCTATGAACTCCTCTGACTTATCTCCCTTATCTACTACCAACTAACCTAACTGCATCCATTCTTTTCTCCATCTCAGAAAGAGATCTTTCCTCATAAGGCACATTTCCACACCTTTGTTAGCTAACATCCTCTCCTGTTTCCACAGGTCCTTCCAACAGTTATCCTTTCTTGCTTTTTCCAACCTCTCCTTCTCTATTTGCTTTCTCTCCCTGGGCTTACGTAAGCATACTTATCTCCCATCTTAAGACTCTCCTTTAATTCTTTACAGCTTGGCTTCTGGTATCTAGGATCTCTTATCATCACTTCCTTACCTCCCATCTGTTCCTCACCCTGCCACTGGCTGAATTCCAATCTCACAACCCTGCTAAAACTGCTTTGGCTAGCTCAGGTCACCAGGGACCTGCTCGTTGCCAAATCCAAAGATTCTCTCTCAGGCCTGAGTTTACTTCTCTGTGCTATATTCCCCTCCCCTTTCTAAAAATCTCCTCCTTGGTAGGAACTCACTCACTTCACGTTTTCTATTTCTGACTGCCCCTAAATACTGGTCTTTACCAAGATTTCATCCTCCATGCTCTTGTGACTCTACAGAATCACTATTTACATAGTCATCTACATAAGAAACCTATGTTCTACTCTCCTTGTATCATTTAGTCAGTCACCAAGATACTCTCAACCCATCCCTACTGTCAATATCTCATTGTTCAGGTCTCTACCATCTCTCATTTGGCATCACTTCTCTCCACTCTATCCACTGCCAAACTGCTGCCAGAGTGATGGCTCTAAAATGAGCATTTCATTCTGAGCTTATCATCACTATGCTCTGCATGTTCCCTCTATTACAGCCACTCAGAACTACTTGCAGTACCATGAACATGTTGTTTTATGCTCCTAATCACTCTGTTTCCTCTGTGTAGAATGCCTTCCCATCCCTCACCGTCTATGAGTGTCTGGTAAATTTCTCCTTCCTCTCCATGATCTTTTGTATCCTCTATGAAGCATTCCTGTCCTTACTCCATAAGCAGAGTGGAGCTCTTTTTTCTCACCATGGAACTTTGTAAATGACTATTTTGCAATTATCGTTTTTTATTAAGCTTATTTATTTACATATCTATCCCTTGTTCTAGATCTTAAGTTCCTTGTAACCAGAAATGGGATCTTACTTCTACATCAACATCTGGCAAACTGCGTGATAAAAATAGATAGTTTGATAATTGCTGAAATAAATGAAGGAATATCATGTGCTCATCCCATTTCGCAAACCAAAATTCTGAAAGCCACTTCCCATTCCTCCTTCTCCACCCCCAAACACCCACTGGTCATCAAGTCCAATTGATACTACCCCCTAAAGATCTCTCAAATTCATCCCTCTTCTCTCCAGCCCACTGCTACAAATCTAGTCTAAGCTCCATTCCCTCTTACTTGAACTAGATATGCTCTCCTCCAAACCATTCTCCACACTAGTGCTGGAATTTTTTTAAAAGTTTTATTATAAAAATACATACTTATAAAAAAATTCAAGTACAGAAATAAAAGCATAATAACCCACCTGGTATACAGACAAGCACATAAATCCCCTTCCCTCCAATCTCATTCCCCAGAGGTTATCACTGTGAACAAATTAATGTGTATCCTTTCAGACATTTTCCTTTGCATATACATGTATATATAAACACACATAAATATACACACATGATTTTTTCTTTTACAAAAATGAAATCACGTAAGTCTGTTACATATGATTCTTCAATTTTTTGTTCATTCATTCAATATACAGAAAATTCCTAAAACACAAATCTGATTATATCACTCCTCTTGAGTTCATTTTCCATAATATAAAATTCATATTAATTAGCATCAAATGCAAAGCTCTTGATTATATATGTCCTGCCCATCTCTTAGTCTCATCTTTAGCCATTCCAGTATAGAAATCACTGGAACATAAATCACCTTAAATGCTTCCTGAAACAAGGCAGGTACAAACAAACAAACAAACAAACTAGGAACACACTCTGCCATTTGTAGATTTTGGCCTTTTCATTTTGTGTTACATTCTGCCTGGACTTTTCCATCTGGCAAAACCCTGATTCTTCAACAATCAACTTGAAAATGCCCTCAATAAGACTTCCTAATTTTTTTCAAGACATAATCACTTCTCTATTTACCCCTGTACTTTTTAGCTAGCTTCTTAATTGCACTTATCTCACAGTACTGCAGTAATTCATTGACACATTTTGAGTTCCACTCCCTCTTCCCCCCACTTGCGGGTAAGCTCTTTGGGTCAAATAAATGTGTCTTATTTACCTTTGCATCCCAAGGATTTGATAGAGTGTTTACCATGGAGCACATGCTCAGTAATGTATCTGTTAAAGAACTGATACTTTAGGAACATTTGCTGAGTTTCTACTATGCACAAAACCATATCCTAAGCATGAAAAGAAACAGAAGACACAGTCTTTGCCCTAGGGAACTTACCATTTTCCTATTATTTCCCCTGGGGTGGGAGGAAGTGACAGAACACATTTACATGAAAATATATTGATTCTGACATATAGATTGTTTGAAAGATTTATAGTCATTCGCCTCAAATCCTTTTAGGAACAAGGCATTGCATAATCAAATAAATAATAAAATAACGGGTAGTTTGTCCAGCAGGTCTGTTATTAAGTGTGGCACAGAGTCTACCAGAATTCAATTCTCTGTCCCAGCAGGGGAGCTCTCACCTATTCAGCCTGCAAATTAGAAAACTGAGATGATATCATGCTTGGAAAATTCCTAATACATCAAGAGGACATAAAGTTATTAGTTCATTCGTAAGTTCTCCTTGTTCCTGGAGGAAAAATTAGACCAAGAGCAACACATGAAGTTAAAAGAGGACACTGGAGAAGAATGAGCTTACTCTCTCTCTCTCTCTCTCTCGTAGTGGCAGGGGGAAGGGAGTTCGCTTGTTTTAAAGCAGAGGGCAACATTGTCCCAGAAAGATCAGGAGAGGTGACTTATTCTCATTTACTTACTATTTTTTAAAGGCTAAGGTGTTAATCTGGTGATTGATTTCATGATCAGACAGCACACAAATAGAAACAAATTAGGGATTGGTGAACCATCTAGACTGGAGAACAAGGAAGGCTGACCAAGGAGGCCCAAAGGAAACCTCATTCATCAGAGTCCAAGTCACTGTCCCCAGCAATGGAGTGGAAATCCTCACTGTCCTCCTCGTCCTCTGACAGGTGGACCTGGCTTAGTACACTCGGCCCAGAGCGCTGCTCTTCCTCCTCCTCATCGTCTTCCTCCTCTGATACCTCATACCCACCGATGCTGCTGAAGCTTGTGTCTTGGGTGTTCGACTTGGGATCAGGCTCCTCATAGCTCCCATAACTGAGAAGAGAAACATGTCATCTCTCAAGCTCGGGCACCATCCTCTAGCTGACCATTCCCATTCTCAGTGTCATTGAGGGATCAGCCCATCTCACCTCCTCTGGACACTAAAGTGGCTGTTTCTGTTCTACATATCCTCAAGAGAAAAAATGATCCTGTTCTAAACATCAACTTGCCAACATCACATACACAAGAACTTGAATGGAAGAAACTTCCCTGCACCCGAACAACACACACTTCTAGCTAACGTTAACCACAAACACTCCAACAGTTTCACCTCCACTTAGTTTCACTCACCTACAGAATCAATTATTCACTAGTTCTGAAGATTCTTCCTCCAAATTTATCTCGTCTCTATTCCCTCCTCTCCACCCCTACTCAGTGCCTGTCATAGCTTAGTGCTTTATCTCTGGCCTGCACTGTTGAAAATAATTCTTCATGCCTCCAGTCTTGCTCTCCTCCAATTAATTCTTCACACTTGTGCCAGAGTGCTCTTTATTTTTTTGTTTGTTTGTTTATTCTTATTACTTTAAAAATCACAAGTAATGTATGTTCACTGGTTAAAAAAAATTAGTACACCAAAAACAAAACAAAAAACCAAAAAACAAAAAAGGAAAAAAAATCACCAATAACTCCACCATCCAGAGATAATTTTTTGGTATACGACTTTTCAAATTTTTATCTATGTACTTCAGTTGTTTAAGCATATTTTGTTTACCAAATTGGGATTCTCTATTATACTCTTCAGGAATCTGCTTTTCTCACTAATAATGAATATCTTTTCATGTCAATAAACATACATCTATAGCAATTTAATAGCTGCATGGTATTCTGCTATATGACTAATATGAGTTAACAGTTTTCCACTAGGACATTTAAGCTGCCTCCAGTTTTTCTACTCTTAGAAAATAATACTGTGATGAATATCCTTATACAAACATCTTAATGAAGGTGTTTTATTACACCCATAGATAATTTCCTAAATATAAAATTGTTGGTCTAAAGGGGATGAACATTTAAAAACTTTTTGATTTATAATAATAAATTGCTATACCTCTCTCCTACCCACTCCATCCTATCAATTTATATTACCATCAGAAGCTTCAGAATGTCTTTTTCTTCATACCCTAATCTTCACCAATCTGACAGATACTAAATTGTACTTGTTTTACTGTGTTTCTTTTATTAGTCAAGTTATATTTCATATTTTGATTGGCCATTTGCATTTTCTTGGTGAAATACTAGTTCAGGTCTTTTGCCCATTTGTGGGGGGGGGGGGGTGACGGCAAAGAGCAATCTCATTCAATGCCTGCCCAGAACTCTGGGACTCTTCATGATTTGTTTGATTTTTACCTACCTCTTTAAACTCTTTAAACCATTTCTATGGCACAGATCATGGATCTTACAGGAAAGAGCTCCAGCAGGCTCAGCGAAGACTTGAGTTCTCTCAAAGTGTTCCACGCCTGTGGGTCTTCACACATGTTGGTCTCTGGAATGCCCTTTGCTTCCTTCTTCATCTAGCTAACTAGTATTCCTATTTTGCTGAGTTTTCTTCTCTGATCAGCTCCCGTCCTCCACCCCTATATAAATACCAGAAATCTTATGGCTGCCTGTCACAGCCCTTTTCATGTTCTACTATGATTGCCTGTTCCCATTTTAGATTTTATACTAGTCTTAACTACTTGAAGGAAGGGACCATGTCTTAGTTGCTTTTGTACTTATGACAAATATGTGCTGAATCAGTATTAAATAAATAAATAAATAAATAGAAATAAATAAAACACTGCTCTCTGGCTAGATGTTTTATACATACATTAAGTCCAACATGTCCCAAAGTAAATTAAGCTTTTCTTCCTTTCTTATCACGTCTAATACCTGTTCTTCTTCTTTTCTATTTCAGTGACATTCCTATTCATTATTTATCTGAAATCCTTACCTCCTAAATTCAATTCATCTACCTTTTAAACAGCCCTTGGATAAATATGTCCCTTTATTCCCCCTTCATGACAGATTCCTGTTGATATTCTCATCATGTATCCCATATTGCCTTAAGGGTTATTCAACAGGCAAATTTGATGTTACTTCCTTTTCCTTAAAGTGATGATTCCTACTACTTACAGAAAAGATCCAAATGTCACAGCATGCCATTTAAGGTCCTCTACCATGTAATTCTTTGCTACTTCTGGCACCTCAACCCCACCCCCACCTCCAATCTCCCTTTCCTTTAGAATATACTTTATATTTGTCTGCCTTTGAACTTATTATTGTATCCCAAAAAATCTCCCCACCCATTGCCACAGTATCTATCTGATGGACTCCTATTCATCTTCCAAGCCCAGTTCAAATGTTCCCTTTATTTGCGAACCTTTCCCTGTTTATTCCAAGCAGAGTGAGACACTCCTTCCTCAGAGGTAGCTTGGCACTCTGTACTTACTTATGCTATAACATTTATCACATTGTATTTGTTATCATTTGTTTGTGTTAGTCTCTTCCACTAGACTGTGAACTCCACAAGGGCACTATATGTCTTGCTCCTCTGTGTATCCCCAAGGCCTAGCACCGTGCCTGGCCCTAGTAGGTGCTCAGGAAATGTTTGATGGATGAAAGTAATCTGAGGCTGGGCCCTCTGACATCACAGCTGGGCACTGATGCCACAGCTCTGTAGTATGTTGCTGCCGATTACCTGATGTTGCTATCCTCCAAACCATGGGAAGCCTCCCCACCGTCTCCCTCATAGGACATCATGCTTTCTTCATTTTCCATGCCCATCCTTGTGTTTTCCTGAAGCACACGGGGCTGTTTGGGTCTTACACCACCAGATCCCACATCAGAGTCACTTCCACTCTCACTCAGCTGGATAGCTGTAAAAAGACACAGATTTTGGTTCATCAAGAGATAAGCTTAACAGAATGAACATCTTTGATCTTCCAAAACAAGTCACACCCATCTACACAGGTATCTCATTTCAAAGACCTGTTCTGGAAATGCCTAGAGTCAACAGTGGCAAGGTCTTTAGTTTAGAAACTGAATCTAAAGAACAACTTCCTTCCTTCATCTCAATCTAATCTATCTGCCTTTTTCCCCCTCTAGCATCTCCTCATATAAGTTTCCCTACCATTGCATTAACTCACAAAGCATTCCCAAACAGGATCCTTTTCCTTAATTTTCCTTCTCTGTTGCTACACCTAATATTTGTTCTCATCTCTGGCAAGTACCCAGATCAAAGCTGCTACTTGAGCATGGCCTTTTCCACTGTGTCTTCTGTATCTCCTATGTTGTATTTCTTCACTTTCTCTTAGGCTGATGGATAAGATCATCCTCTGACTGGGTGTTCAGTACTCAGGTCTATTAATAGGACTTCAATATAAGAAATAGCTTCTGCTAACAGCATATATGGCCAAGAGCTTCCTCTGCAGGTCTGAGAGTGCTACTGTGAGCTATACAGGAACAGAAGCAAAGAACCAAGAATTACCAGAGAAAGGATTATCTCCTTCTTCATCACTCCCAGCATCTTCCTCATCATCTTCTCCTTCAGACATAAGCAAATCCTCATATAGGACACTGGCTTGAGAATGTTGCACAGTTCTTTCCTCTTCATCTGCAAGGTCACCATCTCTGTCTTCACCTTCCTGAATGAGATCAGGGAGCGAAAGTCCCATCAAATGACCAAGTGAATGACCAGAAGCCACCACCAGCACCCTCTCCCCCTTTGCTGCCTCACAAGAAGTTAAGTCATTTTGGTGGAAAGACTCATTTAGCTGGTTCTAAGGATTAAAGTCAGATTGGAGTTCAGCACGGAGACCCTCTATTATCACCCTGGGATTTGGCCTGCCCTGTACTGTTGGGGCTCCTACCATATAAGGGTAAAATGTAACCATAAACCTTCTGTAAGAATACTCACTGGCACTGGAGCCTTAGGTTTCCTATCCTCCTCCTCCTCATACCCTTCAATATCTACATCAGAGTCTTCCTTGCCCAGCCTACCTCGGCCCTGGCGCATCTGAGTAAGGAACACAAACAGCACATCATTGAGGGATGTGCCTGTAGGAAGAGTTAACCAAGGACTCTCACCCAGGACAGATGCTCCTCCCTGATATCCCAGCCAACTCCACTGTTAGTGGGGGCTGTTCACACAGCTCAAGGCATGTGCATTTTCCTCATTCTTTGGAAATCACTGCCAGAGTGAAAACACCAAAGGTCCCTTGGTCTGCTCATAATGTTATCATCATAAGGATGAGTATTCCTTTCTTTAACAACAAAAAAAGTTTATTTATTTGAAAGGCAGAGTTAGAGAAAGAGGGAAAGACACATGGAGAGAAAGAGAGAGCTGCCATCTGCTGGTTCACTCGCCAAAAGGTTACAATAGCCAGGGCTGGACCAGGTCAAAGCCAGGAGCCTAGAGCTCCATCTGGGTCTCCCATGTGGGTGGCAGGGACCCAAGTACCTGGGCCATCTTCCTCTGCTTTTCCAGGCACATTAGCTGGGAGCTGCACTGTAAGTACAGCAGCCAGGACTCAACTGGTACCCATATGGAATGCCAGAATTTGCAGGAGGTGGTTTAACCTGCTGTACTATAATGCCAGCCTCATTTTTAAAAACTAAATAATTTTTAAAATATTTATTTTATTTAAAAGGCAGATTTAGGCTGGCACCGTGGCTCAATAGGCTAATCCTCCGCCTTGCGGCGCCGGCACACCGGGTTCTAGTCCCGGTTGCCCCTCTTCCAGGCCAGCTCTCTGCTGTGGCCAGGGAGCGCAGTGGAGGATGGCCCAAGTGCTTGGGCCCTGCACCCCATGGGAGACCAGGAGAAGCACCTGGCTCCTGGCTTCAGATCAGCGCGGTGCACCGGACGCAGCGCGTCGGCTGCGGCGGCCACTGGAGGGTGACTCAACGGCAAAAGGAAGACCTTTCTCTCTCTCTCTCTCTCTCACTGTCCACTCTGCCTGTCAAAAAAAAAAAAAAAAAAAAAAAAGGCAGACTTACAGAGAAAGAGAGACATCTTCCATCTGCTGGTTCACTCCCTAAATGGATGCAAAGGCCAGGGCTGGGCCAGGCTGAAGCTAGTAGCCAGGAAAGTGACATCTTTTGCTGCATTTCCAGGCACATTAGCAGATAGACTGTTCCTTTCTAACCCAAGCTTTCCTTATGGCTTGCGTTAGACTTTGCTTTCTAACCCAAGCTTATGGCTTGTGTTAGACTTTGGGATAGAAAATTCCTCCTGGGTTTTGTATTCGCCAGTGGAACCCTGACTGAGAATAGCTATAGGATTTCTGGCTTCAGACTGAGATAATTTTCTGATACTTCTAGAAGAGGCCGATTTTTAAATTTTAATTTTATAAATAATTTTACTTCACATTATACCATACACAAAGTAGCAGGCCAATTACTTTGAATCTGTCTTGAACGTAGTTGGTCTTTCTAGTCACCTGTCACGTCGCTCTGATGCTTCATAGTCTTTTTCACACTTGCACCTTTCCCTGAAGTTCTATTATATATGACTCTGTCCATGTGGACTGAAAGAAGACAATGTCAGTCATGCAACCCGTTCACCATCGCACCTTGAAATCACCTCTTTAGGTGGTCCAATCATCCTTAATGTATGTCACATATGACCGCCACCACTCCTGCACCTCCATTTTCCAGGCATACTGCCAATCTCATAAAAGGAAACAGAACATCCTACCTGTGTTACTGCTTTCTCTGTAGTGGCAGTGGGAATATCCAGGACTGACATATTGCTCTCGTCTTGAAATACAGAGGCATCTCGAGACATACTGAGGGATGTGTTGGTATCATACAAATCAGGAGGCTGTGGCATAAAACATATAATTTAGCTTCTATTTAGAGGAGGAAAAGAAACACAGAACTCCCTTTCATAGTATTTGTTCAAGAAAAAGGTCATGCAGAGCAATCCAGTTGAGACAAAACAGAGTTTGGTGGAGCTTCATGGACAGGTACTGGGTAACCTTATAAATGTCGACTATTATACTAGACAGGCATCTATTCCATGTGATCAGAAGCCTGAAGCAGAAAAGCATCAATATTAAGGGACAATTTTATGTCCTAACAGCCTCCCCAGTCATCAATCTCATTTCTTCTAAGTCTTGCCATATTGTTTTTAGGTCCAGGGCTTCATACACGTGCAATTTTGATTGCCTGACTTAGAGAAATCAAAGAGGAAATGGGATAAAGGGATTTCATTAAGAGCATGGAATGGTTTTGACAGTTTATGAGCTTATCAGAAGATGCTACAAAGCAAAACAGCCTGGTTTTAAAAAAAATGAGCTCTGGAAAAATTGTCCTGGGTTTGAGTCCTGGCTCCACTCTTTGCTAGCTGATAACTTCAACAAATTATTTTATCTCTCTAACCCTTGATTTCCTCAGCTATAAGACATAGATGATAATGTCTACTGCACACAGTTGTTAGAATTAGGAGATAGGTACACCCAAAGCCTAGTACTTGATAAATTATAGACCCTTTCCTTCTGTCCCCTGAAAAGAATATTTAGTAAATGAATTATCTGTGAAAAGAGGGACTGAATAAAATGCTTACAATGTAATATAAACATAAAAGAGCAAGATACAAAAGCATATTGGTCCATTTCATTTTAAAAGTGTGTCTATAAGCATAAACACACATATCACAGGTATGAAAAGAAAACACTCCAAAATATTCACAGGGGTTGGTGTTCTTTCTGATGGTGGGACTAATTTCAAGTAATTTATTTCCTGTTTATATTTTCCAATTTTCCCATAAACATGTTACTTTTATATAGAGAAAATCCACATACTTGTTACATCGTGGGGATTTTTTTTAAAAAGGAAACAAACAAGGCTGGTTAAGAGGGCTTTGGAGAAAGAGACAAAACAGATTTGAAAGCATTACAGAGCCAGTGTGAAACAGAAGAAGGGAAAATGAGGGAATGACATTTCTGTAAAATATTAAAACATGGTATGGCAAGTGTAAAGGACTGTGTGGGAAACTGCAAGTGAACAACTTCAGATACAGTGTTAAGCAGAACATGTGATGCAACACAAGCTAGACGGAAACAGTCTAATGAAAATGTAGCATTGCCTCCCACTATGCAGAAGCTGAAGCTAATGGATTACTGTCATGCTACTACATAAACAGAATTATAAACTAATAACATTTGGGGTTGGCAAGTCTGAGTAAGGACAGTCACTCATGTACACCTTCCTCAGATTAAGAGGGAATGATGAGCGGGGCTTCCTAGTATCTTAAATTGTATGTAAATGAAGAGAATGAGAGGGCAGACAGGGAAAATGAAGCAGTACTAACTCTTCATAGTGAAGTTCTCTAACTGTAACAAAAAACAGCTACTGCTGAAAACGGAGACTGGTTGACATCTTTTCCTCAGCCATTTGAAGCAGCATGGGAGAGGCAGGGAAGAAACAAAGATGAATTTTGGGTCCACAGCTTCAATTCACCATAAGACTAGGCTTCAGGCGATCCTAGACCCTGAGCAAACCACATGGCACTTAGTGGTGAGACTCTTCTGGGAAATGATGGCTGACACCCAGGCTTTAACTTACCAGAAAGTGCCTTGCTGAAGCTGTGGGCCTATTAGGAAATAGGGCCTTCCAGGGCAACATCACTCACCCAAGCCCCCTTGACCCAATCTGCCCACAAACTCCAAAAGCCTTTCCTTGTGCTGGGCCTTGAAAAAGTACCTGAGGGTTCTTTATACCTGGCCCCTCAGTAACCTAGGTTTGGGCATGAAAGAGAACATAAAAGATAGATAGGAAGAGTACATGAATGAGACATAGAGACAGCAATATTCCAACAGAGATCACATAAGTTGTATTTGTAGTTCAGAGTGAAATCTAAGTAGAATAAAAAAAAATAATTTCGTGGGGCCGGCACTGTGGTGCAGTGGGTTAACACCCTGGGCTGAAGTGCTGGCATCCCATATGGGCACTGGTTCGAGAGCTGATCCAGCTCTCTGCTATGGCCTGGGAAAGCAGTGGATGATGGCCCAAATCCTTGGGCCCCTGCACATACATGGGAGACCTGGAAGAAGCTCCTGGCTCCTGGCTTCGGATTGGCACAGCTCCGGCCGTTGCGGCCAACTGAGGAGTGAACCATCGGATAGAAGACCTCTCTCTCTCTCCACCTCTCCTCTCTCTGTGTAACTTTGACTTTCAAATAAAATAAATAAATCTTTAAAAAAAATAATTTCATGTAGGAGCTGGGAATTCTCTGCCTTAAAATACTTGATTAAACTTTAAAGGGCCTCTGGGAACTTGACGGACAACTTTCATACAGAGAAGAACAAAACTGTTTACTGACTGTCTACTATGGGCCAAGTAAATGAACTCAAGTTGTATTTACAATGCTCCTGAAAAGAAGATTTTTTAAAAAAAGGAAATTCAGTTAGAAAGCTTACATTAACTATCTAAGATTACAAAACTAAACAGTAGTAGAGCTAAGATTCAAACCCAGGTATGTTTTATGTGAAACTTCATGTACTTTCCACTCTACCATACTGCCTCCAACACAAACACCACACCAGTTATATTCTGTTAAGTCCTATTCTTCAAGTATGCCAACTGTTTAAGAATTTAGTATAAAAGAAATAAACTCTCAGTGTATTCAAGGGTACAATCACACCAGAAAAACTAAAAATTTTTACTCATGTTGCTCTTTAGTCTTTTGACATGTAAATTTAAGAGCATTGTATGCATTATCTGTCTTCATTTACTAGGAGAGAATCAATCTAAGAAAATGAGTAACATCTTGAACTACACTGATAGACCTCTGGGAAAATGGATAATCAGATGTCTATAAGGAACAGGAACAATGTCTCCAATTGAGAAGCTTACACTTTGGGGATGTCCTAGAGCCCCAAAATTCAAGAACAAGACAACTCCAGAGACTTAGGATGCCTCTGGGTATAACAGCTGGGAATCTGGTATTCCCAAATATAGCCTAAACACTAAGGCCCCACCCCACTCATTCATCCAACAGCTACTTCTTCTGGATTTGATAAGGCCAAGACCCATGGTCCTCACTCACCTTAGCCTTTGAGAAGACAAGAAAGCACACGAAAGGCATATGAAGAAGGACAGAGAAGAACGGTATCTCAGTAAATAGATCTGTTAACACATTCCCAATTTCCCAATTAATAAAAAATTGTTAAGAGAAGGTTCCAAGTCCTCAGACTCACCTGAGGTGTGTAGGGCCCTGGAGTCATCGGGTCCAGGCTTTCTAATTCTGCTTCCTCCAAAGCTGCTTCTTTAGCTGTACAAATATCCTTCTCAAGTTGAGTCAAATGCTCATCATACTGAGAAATAAAATCATTGAATCCATTCAACATGGATTTTAGGCACAAGGCATATAGAGGCAAACAAAACAGACCAAAAATAACCTAGTTTTCATGGAACCTATATTCTAGTGGCAAGACACAGGTGATAATCAGAATAAATAAAACAGAGATGGAAAAAGGGGACGTTGAGTGGGGTTGGGTAGGGGAGCAGGTATAATACATCAGAACACAGGATAGTCAGGGAAGGCAACTCACTGGAGGGATTTCAGAGAGCAAGATCAAAAGGGAGCTTCCTCTTTCCCACTTACCTCAGTCAATGTCTGGTAACAGACGTTCACAATCTCCTGAGCAGTCTTGGTATACTGACTCTCAGGCCCTACAAATGAAATAAGAAAATGCCATTGACTCTGCAGACTTCAGTTCCAAAATTTTATAGTCTGTCACCAGCACTGGGTCTCAATATCAAAGACACAAGAGAATCACACTTCAGCTTTCACTTGGAATCTTGCTCTTCTTTTAGAAGTATAAAATTTCAAACATAAATAAAAAGACTAATACAATGAACTTCCATGTAATCATCAGCCAGTTTCAAGAATTATCAATACATATCCAATCTTGTTTCATTTATATTTCAACTTTTCAGACTCTTCTCAAAATATTTTGAGGCAAATTCCAGTATCACATCATTTCATCCGTAAGTTGTTCAGTATGTGTCCCTAAGGATGGTTTTAAAAAAATAATCATGTATAGTATTATAATGGTGGATACATGTCATTATACAGTTGTCAAAAACCATAAACATACAATACCGAAAATGAACTCTTATATACAAACTACACACTTTGGATGATAATGATGTGTCAATATAGGTTCATCGATTGATACAATTAATGTAGCAGTCTAGTGCAGGATATTGACAGTGGAAGAGGCTGTGTGTATACATGGACACTCTAACTTCTCAAGTTTGCTATGAATCTTAAACTTCTCTAAAAATAGTCTATTTGAGTAACAACAAAATGTTTAAAAAATAACTAATCACATCTAAATGATTAATAATCATTAAAAAATTTATTTGAAAGGCAGATTCAGAGAAAAAGAGAAGGAGAAAGATTTTCTATCCACTGGTTCTCTCTCCAAGTGGCTGCAACTGCCAGGGCTGGGCCAGGATGATGCCAGGATCCTGGAACTTCATCTGGTCTTCCACATGGATGCAGAGGCTCAAGCACTTGGGCTATCTTCTGCTGTTTCTCAGATACATTAGCAGGGAGCTATACTGTAAGTGGAGCAGCTGGGACTTGAACTGGCACTCATGTGGGAGGCTGGCATTGTAGGCAGTGGCTAAATCTGTTATGCCACAATGCCAACCCCAACAATTCTTTAAATATTATCAAATAGCTAGTCAAGATTCAGATTTCTGAGGGGTGGGCATTGTGGCCACTTGGGAAGTAAAACAACAGATGGAAGCTCACACTTGCTGCCTCTCAGGTTGTGCATTAGCAGGAAGCTGAACTGGAAGCAAAGCAGCCAGGACTTGAATCAGGCACTCTGATATGGGATACAGATGTCCCAATTGCCACACCAAACACTGATCCCAGCATCTGACTTTTCAATCCCTGCCTTAAATGCTTTATTACGTTCGTAAGTATGTTGTTCATTCACCAGACATTTTCTGAGTGCCTTCTAGGAGCCAGACATTCATTCAAATGTACAGAAACAATAAGATATAGGTCATATCCTCAGGAAGCTTATAGTCTAGTTAACAAAATGGGCAGTACAAAGAGAGTGAAAAAAGAGGCACAAAGGAGGGAGTGGTCAATTCTGGGAGGTAAGAGGGGAAGAATTGGGAAAGGTTTCACAGAGGTGGTGATCCCTGAATTAAACCTACTGTTTTCAGATATAAATGATAAAAATTTTTTTTATTATTTTTATTTTTCAATTTTTTTACAGGCAGAGTGGACAGTGAGTGAGAGAGAGAGAGAGAGAGAAAGGTCTTCCTTTTGCCGTTGGTTCACCCTCCAATGGCCACCGCAGCTGGCGCACTGCGGCCCGCGCACCGCGCTGATCTGATGGCAAGAGTCAGGTACTTATCCTGGTCTCCCATGGGATGCAGGGCCCAAGCACTTGGGCCATCCCCCACTGCGTTCCCTGGCCACAGCAGAGAGCTGGCCTGGAAGAGGGGCAGCCGGGACAGAATCCAGCGCCCCAACCGGGACTAGAACCCGGTGTGCCGGCGCCCCAAGGCGGAGGATTAGCCTAGTGAGCCATGGCGCCGGCCCAATGATAAAAATTATATCTATCAGTACATGTGAGGCTTTTAGGCCATACCTACTATGATTATTATAAGCTATTATATAAAAAAATAAATTTCTTTCAGGTAAAATCTCACACAAGTATAGCTAACTTATTTTTTAAAAAGATTTATTTATTAGAAAGTCAGAGTTAAAGGGAGGGAGAGCGAGATAGAGTTAGCGCAAGAGCGAGCGATCGAGCGAGGTCTTCCATCCATTGGTTTACTTCCCAAGTGGCCGCAATGACCAGGGTTAGGCCAGGCTGAAGCCAGGAGCTTCTTTTGGATCTCCCATGTGGATGCAGGGGCCCAACTACCTGGGCCATCTTCCATTGCTTCCCCAGGTACATAAGCAGGGAGCTGGATTGGAAGTGGAACAGCCAGAACTTGAACCGGCACCTGGTATGCCAGTAATCAAACACAAATAACCTATCCAGAAAGAAACTAATAAGGCAGTAATCTAGATATTTAGGACACATATAAAGACAGCCAAAGATTCTTACAATAAAGAACAGTTAGAGTGCTAAGGAGGCTGCCTCTCATGTTTCTACAATTCAGATTTCCTGAGGCCAACAGCAGTATGGTCCTCAAAATTTCAATGGAGATAGACTGCAAAAGTCAACAGATAAGCTTTCATGTTGATGGTAACACATGACGCTAGGAAAAACCACAAGGCTGCGCAACAGGTTACAAACTCCCCCAAACAAGCTATACTTAACAAAAAAGAAATGTTTTTTTTAGTATTATTTTATCATTTCTCTATTATTAAATCAGGGCTGGCGCTGGTGCTATGGCACAGAAGGTTAAGCCTCCACCTGCAGCGCTGCTAATCCCATATGGGAACCAGTTTGAGTCCAGCCCACTCCACCTCCCATACAGCTCCCAGCTAATGTGCGTGGAAATGTAGCAGCAGAAGGCCCAAGTCCTTGAGCTACTGCACCAACATGGGAGACATGGAAGAAACTCCTAGCTCCTGGCTTCAGCCTGGCCCAACCCCGGCCATTGCAGCCATTTAGGGAGTGAACCAGCAGATGAAAGACCTTTCTGTCTCTCCCTCTCTCTCTCTGTAACTGCCTCTCAAATAAATAAATCTTAAAAAAAAAAAAAAAATCATGCCCAAAGCAACTACAAATGTCTACCTGAAAAAATGTATTTATTTATGCTTTGTCCTACACCAAATAAAGATTGGCAAAGCCGGCCAGCGCCACAGCTCAATAGGCTAATCCTCCACCTGCGGCGCCGGCACACCGGGTTCTAGTCCCGGTCGGGGCGCCGGATTCTGTCCCGGTTGCCCCTCTTCCAGGCCAGCTCTCTGCTGTGGCCCGGGAAGGCAGTGGAGGATGGCCCAGGTCCTTGGGCCCTGCACTCCATGGGAGACCAGGAGAAGCACCTGGCTCCTGGCTTTGGATCAGCGCGATGCGCTGGCCGCAGCGCACTGGCCGCGACGGCCATTGGTGGGTAAACCAACGGCAAAAGGAAGACCTTTCTCTCTGTCTCCCACTGTCCACTCTGCCTGTCAAAAAAAAAAAAAAAAAAGGGATTGGCAAAGCCTAGGAATCACATTTGAGTCAAATCCAAATGTCCTGAAATAGTGGTAATTCTAGTAACAGCTTTGGAAGGAAGATATACTACTAATTTAAAAAAAAAAAATCCTCTTTGTCAGGGCTGGCGCTGTGGGTTAACACCCTGGCCAGAAGCGCCGGCATCCCATATGGGCGCCGGCTTGAAACCTGGCTGCTCCACATCTGATCCAGCTCTCTGCTATGGCCTGGGAAAGCAGTAGAAGATGGCCCAAGTCCTTGGGCCCCTGCATCTGCGTAGGAGACCTGGAAGAAGCTTTTGACTCCTGGCTTCGGATTGGCGCAGCTCTGGCCAATTGGGGAGTGAATCAACGGATGGAAGACCTCTCTCTCTCTCTTCTCTCTGTGTAATTCTGACTTTCAAATAAATAAATACATCTTTTTAAAAAATCCTCTTTGTCCTTTTTAAAAAGACATCCTTCTTTACAAGTGATGTAAGCTTCACAGTTCCAGTTAGTGGGGAAGCAAGCACTACTGCTATTAGCTATCTGAAAGGTTTCACAGCAAAATACCAGTCATGTTGGTAAGCACTCCTAGACAAACAGAGTTTTGAGATCACCCCTCAGCTCACATTTCCCTTAAGAACTCTTCTATAAATACTAACAATAACTCCCTCCTAAGAAAATGAGTACTCTGCAAAAACAAGCATAAATTATCACCTTGAGAGTGAATGGAGCAGAGGATATGCACTTGTTCCAATGTGAATTTAAAATTAATAAAATAAAACCTTAGTAGCAGTAGGAAGCTTAAAAAAAATCAGTGCAAGGTTTTTTTAAAAAAGGGGAAAAAACCCTGCACAATTAACTTCCAATGAAATTAGAATGACTAAATTCAACTGTGCACAGTCCACAGATCCCAAAGAGATGAGCTCTGGCATCACAATTCTTAAGTATTTATCTCAAATTAGATCCAGAAGGTGAAAAATAAAGAGAAATGAATCCAATCACAATTCTTAAGTATTTATCTCAAATTAGATCCAGAAGGTGAAAAATAAAGAGAAATGAATCCAATCTTTCATATTGTAGCTAGGCTTCTGATATTATACAGGCTGAGGATCAGATGCAAATTGATATTTAATTTTCAAAATAAGAGATTTAGTCTCTTAAGCCAAAATAATAGAAACCATTCAGAACCTGGAATAGAGATTCAAGAACTATCCAGAAGGATCTGGAGTAATAAATTTCACTGAACAAAGGTGGGATTTACTTACTTATCAAGTGAAAAGCCCCAAAGAACCTGAAAATGTTTCTTTCTCCTCAAAAGAACCATCATTCTATCTAGCGCGCGTGCACACACACACACACAGTTTTGACTAAATGCTAATTTCATAATTCTACCATTACAAAGATAGTACAGATACCTTAAATATCTTTTCCTATGGAATAAAATTTATAATAGGGCTTGAAGTGTCATTTTTTTTTTTGACAGGCAGAGTGGACAGTGAGAGAGAGAGACAGAGAGAAAGGTCTTCCTTTGCCATTGGTTTACCCTCCAATGGCCGCCGCGGCC